GGCAGGGCTCGCAGGGCATGCAAGCAGTGATCGGCAGTGTATATCACTGGACAAGCATCCAGGGCAGGTTCCGCTGAGGGTGCCTGATAAAGTTCTTCATAGTACGCGACAAGGGTGTCGCGTTCAGCAGCAGGGCGTTGCACCTGGCCTTGAGGAGTCCGAATTTGAATTCGTTTGCGCTGTTGCTTGGGGGCAAGCACTTTGAGCATTCTATACACCACTGTGTGATTGCCCGATGCAGCTGCTGTCTCAGCTTGTGACAAGCAGTCATTCAAGAAGTTGCGTTTGCGCTGTCTTGCCGCCTGTTTCAGCAGGCGCTCAGCTCGAATGGCCGGTGCAAGGAGTCTCCATTGGTGAAAGCAGTTGTGAAGTTGGGAGTCTGAGATCGGTGCCTGAAGTAACGCCGCACGTGCCTGCCAGAGGGAAAGGACCTGTTCATGGGGTCTGTCTTTGATGTCAGGTGGGGAGAAGGCAGGTCGGGCACTGGTGTCATGCCAAGCCTGCTTAAGCGCAAGATCGAGCTGGGCCGCAGTGGGCTGAGGCGGAAGCCGGACTTTTAGGTTGCAGACGAAGTCGGCCTCCAGATTGGGATCCTGCTTGAGGGCGTCGGAAACTTGCCTGGGTTGGATGTTGTTCTGGAGTTCCAGGGCAGAAGACAGGCCCCATGGCTTCCAGTCTAGAGAGAAGCTGGCCTGTACGGGGATATGTTGAGCCCCTTTGCGAGAGGCAGCTACCGGCCAGTTGAACGGCTTGGCCTTTTTGCTCTCCCTATCACTGTGGAACTGCCTGAGCATGATGAAGTCAATCTGTGTTACGGCGCCTGTGGACTCATTGACGAAGGTAGCAGCAGGAGCCCTGCCAAAGGTGTTGCAAGCTACGAGGCGATGGACTTCTAAGAACGCACACAGATCGGCAGTGTCGGATTGTGGACCGGATTTTGTGGGTCGACCCATGCCAGTGAGCCCTGTCATGTGTGGCAGCGAGGTGTTGAAGTCACCTATAAGACAGAGCGGGTTACGAATAGGGAAGCTGCGAACGGTGGCCTGGAGCCTCTGAAGAAATCGATGTCGGCGCTCAGTTGCGCCTCTCCACCAGTCCTGTTGATCATCATTCTTTTGATGATACCATGCGTGTTGGTACACATGGAGCACGTCTAATGGCTGATGGCCTTTGGGGAAGAAGATGCGTACATGCTGCAGCCTGCCGACAAGGACAGGGGTGTGCTTGATCATGTGTGGTTGAGCCAGTTTCTTGGAAATGCACATGAGTAGACCTGCCTCCTTAGGCTTATGGCTTCCATGATGGATGTATGACCAGTGATCATCGTCCCATTCAAAGTCATCCCGCCAGTACGTCTCCTGGATACATACGATGTCATGCCCATGCGGAGTCTTTAACAGCCAGGTGAGGAATTCATTCCATACCGTGACCGTTAAGCCTCCCGCGTTCCAGGTCATAATGTTGCATCTGAGACCTGGTGGTGGGGGACGAGGAATGGACCGATGTGGAGACGTGGTGTCAGGATGTGACTGTTCACCTCGGCCAAGAAGGTCGTGGACGGAGCAAAGTCTGCCTCGGTAGCGTGTAATTCCAAAGTGTCTGGCACGAAGGACTGCTCTCTTAAAAGATCGTTTTCTGCAGCCAGTTAGTGTAGGGACATAGTGGCCTGGGTTCGCCGGCGTATGGCGAGAAGGAAGTGAGGTACTGGCTCCAGGATCAGTGGCCTCTGATCCAACCCTCGGCTCACCCGAACTGAATGATGCAGCACGGCTTGCTTGCACTTGCCAAAGAAAGAGTAGTGACAGGAGCAGCCTGGATCGTGTTCTCGTTCGGGACGCGGGCTTGGGACCGCGATCAGCCTTTGTTGGCGCATATGGTATGGGGATACAGTGTGTCAAGGAACGAAGGAGAGAGGAAAGAAGGAAGGGAAGAAGGGCGGTAAGTGCATTTGACACCCAGTCATGCAAGCACCAGAGACAAGCTGCATTGCGTTTTCTCTTGCTCCGGGTGCACATGCGTAGGTATCTGAATTTCCATCTACGTAGCAGGTGCCAGGCTTTGCTAGCAATGATCCTGGGTTTAGGAGACATCCGACCCCTGGGTTCAGGGGTGCCATGAAAAAGCGCAGGCGCCGTGGGAGCGAGCCAGGCATGAGGTAACAAGTGGCACGAAGGGCCATCATGGTGTATCCCTTGCTCCATCCTCCGTGGCTTCTTCAAGGATGGCGGGAGTGTTGGGGGAGCCTGGGGCTGCAATGCCCGCATGTGGAGGTCGTCCTTCCAGGATGCCAGGAGCACGGGCTGATGGTCTGATCCAGGCGTGTATGCCGTTGGTCGGTCGGGCTCCGTATCCGGGTGGGAGTGTGACCGATGGTGTCCCCTCTGGCGAGTAGGTGAGGGGTAAGGTAATGGCAGCTGGGCGCGGTGCGGGGGGTCCCGCCGGGCTAAGGTGGCCATCAGAGTGCCCTCCTGCTGTGCAGCCTCCAACGGGTGCTGCTGGGGGATGGGTGGCGGTAATCGGCCGGAGCCCACCATGAGGTGGTGGTCGCAGAGTGGGTCCCATGCTCTCAGTGGGTGGTGGGGGTCCAGCAGGCAGATGCCCCACTGTGGGTGGAGGTGGTCCTCCAGGTGCTTCCATGGGTGGGCTTGGTCTGGGTGGAGGCGGGCTTTTGGAGCGTGTTGCTCTGGCTCTGAGCCCAGCTCGAAGAATGCTTGCCGTTCTGGAGGCAGGAGTTTCACCTGTACTGGCTGCGTAGGCCTCACCTGGAATCGATGGTCTGATCCTAGGGCCCGGTGAAAATCGGGCACCCCCAATTGCTCCAGCAGAAGTACTGTGAGCATCATCCGTGTCCGTGGCCGTCCTGGAGGAGGAAGACGGGGAATTCGGTGCAGCCTTGGGTCCTGTTGCGACAGTTGAGCCACAGACTGAGGGGGCCTCGGGCAGGTCAAGGGCATTCCTATCAGAGTCATTGCTGTCGCTGAGCGTGTGCTCGTCCATCGCCCCATTTCTGTCTTCATTCGAAGGCGCAAACCGTCCCCTTCGCAGGATTGAGGGGCCCGGTTTCGAGCTTTGTCCGGTGGCTGGCCTCTTGAGTGTTTTCTTGGGCGCCATAGCGAGGTCAGGACCCTAGCAGAACCGAGGGAAGCCCTTCTACTAGCTGGCCGAAACTCAGCATGACAGTACATGGGACAGGCATTTTGCAGGGGATGTGCGGTGCTCGCTGGACGCATGTCCAACAGAAAGAGTGTGCTCAGAGAATGAGCTCCACACCAGTTGTCGTAGGTCAGGGTCAAATTTCCATGCACAGTCTCCTGGGCAGATTCAGACAAGGTGATTGCTTCCGTGAGTTCCACGGAGTATCTAGTGTCGATCACAGTCCGCCTGGATGTAGTCTTTGACAGACCTGGGCCCAAGTGAGCAACGAGGAAAACCACAGGAGTGGCTCGCTGACAGTTCGCAGCACTTGCACATGCTAGTGCGCAAGAGTGAGCTCGGAGCAAACGGGGTGATGTAGAACGTATGCCCCATTCAGACACAAGACCGCGTGCTTGCAGTGTAGGATGGGCTGCAGAACATGTATAGGGTCCAGGTGACGCAGCGGCTACGTTCGTGTACGCAGTGAAGCTCAGTGCATGCTTAGTCAGCGATACAGATGCAGAAGAACAATGAGCCCTGTCTCCAATCCCTGCAGAACACTTTTGGCGGTGGCAGGCGTTCTGGCAGTGGCCAACCGGCTCGGCCTTTAGGTGAACCTCGATATCTAGGAGTTGCCGGGACCGTCTTGTTGGTGATGGTTCACAGGACACGTACCTGGGGCGGACATCAGGCGAGCCAGGTATGCACTTGGAAAGATGCAGGTATCCGAGGTTGCTGCTGATATGATCGGTGGTCGGTCGCCGTTGGAGCACGTCACTGATTGATGGGACGGTCCTGTCCCTTTCAGCTGTTGGCAGGGCAGACAGAGCATCATCAATCTGTACACCAAGAGGCAAGCAACAGCCAGGCATGTGCTCATACATGCGAGCAGTAGTGCCCGGTCGCATCATCACAGCAGCATGCTGTGTGCTCGTGTGTGTGTCCTGGAGCCTGGGCCTGACATGACGCTCCTCAGCATATCCCGTTGCAGTCACAGATGGAGAGGAGGCATTGCCCTCACAGGACAGGTATGTGCGAGTGGAGAGCGAGGCAGCATCTGGGCACGGCACTGATGCTGAGGAGCCACTCGTCAAATGTGCAATCCTATGCCAAGCATGAAGGATGAGCTGTGCCACCAACATGGCCGGTTCACCTCTGGATGTTCGGACCTCTGGGCAGTGCATGGTTATCCTGTGTGCCTCCACCGCAACGTCAAGGCGCCTTTCAAGGTTGGCCTGATCCGAGTCGACGTCCGAGCTGGAGGTCGAGTCCGAGGTGGAGCCGAACAGTTTTTCCATGTCCTGGACAGGGGGCATATGGATTGCGAGGAGGGGAGTACCTATGACCTTGGGCCTCGGTGCAGCAGTAGTTGGAGGCGCCTCGGGTGCCCTGTATCTATGCCCGCACAGCCTGGAGCCTAATTTGCACATATAGGTGAAGCATGTGTGGAAACGGTCACTGCTGACATTGAACACATGTGTGCGTCGAAGGGCAGACTGCATGATGCCTCTGCGAGGAGGCTGTCGAAGCAACATGACCCCGGACGGGGCTGCTCTCTCTGTGCACAGGGATGCATTTTGCGTCCAGCGTCTCAGCAGCTGGTGGCGGCAGTCTACCCAGACTTCAGATAGCGCAGTCTGGGCAGGGCGTTCGTCCAAGGCCGGACTCAGCTGTCTGCACGTAGTTGATCCTGCAGTATGGGAGGTACATAGCATGGTGCCATGGATTTGTCTTGCACAACGTACAAGTGCAGTTGGATCCAGGCGGTCCAGTCTGATGACAAGGGTACCAGGTGATTCAGCGGCATCCTGTGGCTTCGGTTGGCGGGTGTGGCGCGGTGCATGCACATGAGGGCACGGGAGTGCAGCAATGGCCTGCCATGTAGGGATCATGTGCTTGTCATTGCACATCATTACTTCAGCCTGCGAGGTCAGTGAAAACCGACACATGCAAGCCAGTAAGTGCAGTGCGGGACAGAAGCAATCAACCCCAACCCAGCGACAACCCTGAACGAAACAAGGGTCCGAAAGATCACACGACTGGCCTTCTCGTCTGTGCTTGGGTGGGGGCAACGGTCTCGGCATGTGCCGCTTCTGTATCGCATCATCGATGGCCGAGCCCTCCGCCTGAACTGACACGCTGCGTGTGGTTGGTACCGCCTGGCAGGCTTGACTGTGAACATATACCCCGGAGCGCGGTGTAACGGCAGGAGGAGGGCGATGTGGTGCTCCAGTGCTGCAGCTGGCATCAGGCTCTGAGGAATTGCTGGGGTCTTCTGTAGGCTCAGATCCAGCCTCAGACCCTGACCCAGTGATAGGCTGCGCTTGCAGTGTTGGCAGCTCTTCAAGCTCGCTGTCCGGGCTGTCCAGCATCACATCAACCATAGTGTCGTCAGGAGCCCAAGCCTCGCCCGTCTCGCCCTCCGTGTTCACCGTGTACCCGAGGAAGATCTCCGCAGGTGGGCCACTAAGCATGGTGGCACCGTCCGCAGGAGAGGGGTCCGACAGACCCGCGTGGCCTGTGTCTTCCGCAGCAGCAGTGATCGTTGGCGGCCCATGGAGCAGCTCGTGTAGAAGATTCGTAGGGCCAGGGCGCACCTTCGGCTTGCGACCAAGAGTCGGTGTGGCAGGTGCAGCGGTCGCATTTGGCAAGGGCGGCACCAAGCTGGCAGAGCTGGCACCGGTCACTTCAGATGATGCTGCAGATGCATTAACCGGAGCTGCCATCGGGGCAGTCAGGCTTGGCATGTCGGCCTCCGCCAAAAGTTCAGCGTAGAGCTCGTCAACCTCCGGGCCCGCCAGCACATGCAGGAAAATCCAGAAAGAAAGCAGGAATCGCAGAGGGAATGCCATGGCGATGCAGCAAGAACTGCAAGCTAGCAAGCTACCCCGCCCACGGCCGGCCTGCCCGAAATCAAACCAGAAGAGAGGGAGGACCAGGACCCACACCCGGAACCCACCCCAAACACCACCGAAAGGAAGAAAAGAAAGGGGGAGAAAGAGGGAGCGAAGAGAGGAAAAGAGGGAGAAGAAAGCACGAAAAGACACGAAAAACCCCACTACCAAGTTGCTACGGCTGTGAGCCTTGCTGAATGAAGCACGCCCTCAGATCGATGTGTCTCAGCTTCCTCAGCCCCTCCATCTTAGAGATGTTTATCGCGGCCTCACTGTCGCAATAAATGGTGGGCACATACTGACTCTCAGGCTGGAGGCCAGTTCCGTGTCCTACCGAACATCTGAGACCCATCGATTCCCCCGCCCCTTCAGTCAGTGCGTATAACTTGGATTCTGCGGAAGAGAGAGCTACAGACTGCTGGAGTCGGGCCCACGATTTCACGCAGGCGGAACCCAGCATGGCGCACCCTCCGGAGATCGATCTGCGCGAAACCGACCGCTCCGAACCCCAAGATGCGTCCACGAATACCCTGATTCGCAGGTCTTGATCTCTCTGACGTGGAAAGATTTGGAAGAAACTTGAGACCGTTTTGAGGTCCTCAGAGTGCCCCGGATGGCTCTCTCGTGATACTCCCTGGGGTCTGCCTGGCCGCGTGCCAGCACGCTGATGAAATACACAAGATCTCCGCGTGTCGTCGCCAGCCAGGACATTTTCCCCAGCGCCCTGCGGAAACGTGCAGACGCCTCCTGGCTTAGAGGTCGGGACAACGCTTCACTTCAAGCGCCTGTCATACAGATCCCTGAGGTTCGGCGGATTCGGACACCCCTTTGCGCCCTTGAGGTTCTACTCTTCCATGACGTCATCAAGATATCCCGGATCCATTCCAAACTTCAACGAACCCTGCGGCTCCGATCTCAGGATCTTGCGCCCCAAGAACGTGATTTCGCCGTCCCAGCAGAATGTCGTCGACATAGGCCAACAGAAGCACCCTTGCCTCCGTACTCACCCACGAACAAACAGGGTTCAGTTGGGCAAGACTTCAGCACGAAAGGTGCTTGGTCCAGTGAAGAGCGGCGGACCTGAGGCCGTATAGTGCCTTTTTAAGGCGGAGATACAGTTTCTCACCTCTTAAACCCCGGCATCCCTTAGGCATGCTGACGACGACATCTTTCTCTTGAAGCTTTTGCAAAGAGGAAAGCAGTGGACACGTTAATTCCCAGCATGTTGTGCCCCTTTGCTCCTGCCATTGCAAGGAACACTCGTAAGCTTTCCGCAGACGCGGTCGGTGAGGAGATCCCCAGCTGAGAAATAGAACATGGCAAAGATCATTGATTGGTTACCAAAGATTAATTGTAAAATCCCAGAAATTATTATGGAAATAATTCCAAATGCACGAATTATTAAGATGTAAACTTATGGATGTCCAAAAACCAAAATAAATGTTGATAGAATATAGGATCTTCTCCATATCCCAGATGACCTTTCGCCTCTACCGCAAGGCTCTTAAGCGCATTCAGCTCCTTGATCATTCCTTGATAAGTGAGCCCCAAATCAAGCTCAACTTCGGATATGTCGGCCATCGACTTCTGAACTGTTACGAGTCCCCCACCGAGCTTAACAACAACCTTCCCTCTGGAGTGGTTTTGACCACTGCACTGTTCCCAATGGCCTCTCTCATCACGCACGTCCTCCGGCAACTCAACGTGGCTTCAAGGCTCTCAAAATTAGCTTCTAAAAGAAAGAACAAAAATGAAAATGTGCTTTCCAAGAATTATTTCTGTAGAACCACCTGACAATAAAAAGAGATGTAAGAAGAAGACAGAACTAATTCTAAGGTGCAATAATGGTGGATTTGTAAGGTATGTAAAAATCCAATTAAAGATTTGGCGGGCGCGGCATCACAGGTGGCAGTCTTGCCATCTTCAATGCACATTCTTTTTTTGGACGATGCATCACAGGTGGCAAAACATTGACACCCGTGGTGCTACATCTAATAAAGATGCTACAGCACTTCTGATGTTGCATCATGGAAGCACCATGGCACGTGCTCTGTTAACAATGAATCTTTAGGAAGCAAAAAATCTTCTTTTTTCTTCATAAATTATGGCATTAATGCATTCTAAGTCAATTTAAACTAGTGTTTCCAATAGATTTTGAAGAAATTCATGCCAAATGAATTTTTTGAGTGAATGAACAACAAATCCCAAAAATGCCAAATTTGTGCACTTGTCAAAGATTAGTGTTTTTTCTTTGGCAAAGAAAGTGTGAAAAACAAAAGAAATAAACTTGAGAAAGAGATTTTCCAGATTCAAACAATGTGAGGCCCACAACCTGCATATGCTGAAAAATGTTTGTACTGAAACATTTTTGTTTTGAAATTCAAAAACCTACTTGTGTCTGTCCTTCACATTGGCTGAAGGGGGCAAGGGCGGAGGCCCAATTTGCCCCCTTTAGCCGATGCGCGGGAGGAAGGGAAATAACCCTCCAGGTCAATGTGCCGCCAGCGGCCATGGTGGCTTTCCTTTCCAGCGCGCCCTACAACCAAGTATACGGTGGACCCGAGTAGCGGAATCCCTTAGGTCAGTGGGCAGGTGTCCCAGGAGGCCTGCAGGCAGGGCGGAGCGCCAACCATACGGATACTTGGGTTTTTTGCCTGACGGCAAAATGGGGGTGCGAAGCACTCTCTGCTTGGCATCAAATCAGGGGGCCACATGGATTACATGGCCCCATTACCTACGACGGAGCTAAGTATGGCCGAAATTTCGGGCGCGGCATGGTGTTCTAGGGCCATAGGGCCAGATTAACAAACCTGTCGGCAGTCTCATCAAGAGTCTCATATTGCCCAGCAGCGTCAGCAGATCCTCAGCAGAAGATCATCAGCAGCATCATCATCATCATCATCATCATCATCATCATCATACCATCATCATCATCATCATATCAGATCATAGCATATCATATATCATCACATCGTGTCATTGTATCATCATCATCAGCATCACCATCATCATCATCATCAATCATCGTCGTCATCATCATCCTGCCAGGTCCTGAGTCCTGAGCCCTGGCATCTTGGCAGTCCGGCTTCCCGGCGGTCCTGGTGCTGGCACGCGGTCCTGGCCTGGCATTGCCGCCGCATTGCCTGGCATTGGCATCAATCATAATCGCATCATCGCATCGCATCATGAATCATTATGCATTGTGAAGTATGAATCATCAATCATCAGTCATCAATCATTCATTCAGTCATGACTCATGACATGAGATCATGATGAGCCACGAGTCATGAGTCATGAGTCATGAGTCATGAGATCATCATGAATCAGGAACCATGAATCAGTCACAGTCACAGCCACAGTCACGGCAGTCACGTGAGTCATTGCGGCCGCCGCAACCCATCGGCCACAAACACGGGTCATGAACAATGAAAAACTGCCTTGGTTTCCTTTCAGCTTTGTTCGCGTCGAATCCAGCCAAGACTTCAAACTCAGCCCATCTTTCTTTTCTGCTGTTTGGCTTGACGTGCATTTTTTCCTGTTTGCAGAAAAGGCTGAAACAAAACCACCAGCAATGAAACAGGACTTCAAAGAACTTGGTCTGTGTTTTTCAGCTGTCCTGGCTTGACACATGCAGGCCACACCATGCTTGAGATGCAAATTGGAGATGCTTTTTTGCTACGTTTTTTAAAGCAAATTGTTTTTAAAATTTCAAACATGAAAAAACGTTTAAAACACAGAAAAAAACTGGTTTCGAAGCATTTCAAAGTCTGCAATATGAATAATAATTTTGGAATGCCTTGTTTAGAAACAAAATCGCCCTGAACAAACTTGCCTGAAAAACAAAATCAAAAAAAACGTTAATTAATTTTTGTTCAATTTTTCCTTGTTTGAAAAACATTGTCAACGAAATGAACAAGATGATCCATACTAACTTTTTGAAACTGAGCCAACCGGCTTGCTTTGGATCAAAAATTTAACATATTGAAAATCTTAAAAAACATTAGAAAAAACGCGGCGTTCAAAAAAAAACAGAATGTATTTTGTGGAAGTCATAAGTCATTTTTTTTCCTCCACTGCTTCTTCGACGCAACAGCGCCCCAGAAGCTAGAGCAATGAGATTCAAAGAGGGATGAGACAGCGCACCTACCATCAAACCAACAAAGGGTCATAAGTTATGAGTCATAAGTCATGTCATAGTCATGAGTCATAAGTCATTGAGTCATGACTCATGTCCACGGCCACCACCCACGCGTCGCCATCGGTCTGCAATTCGGTCGTCGCAGCCCATCTTGTCAAAGCCAAGACTTCAAACTCAGCCTGTTTTTTTTCTGCTGCTTGACTTGACGTGCATTTTTCCTGTTTGCAGAAAAGGCTGAAACAAAACCACCAGCAATGAAACAGGACTTCAAAGAACTTGGTCTGTGTTGCAAAGGCTGAACAAAGCTACCAACAAAGAAATAAACATGACCTTAAAAAAACTTTGGCTGTGTTTTTCAGCTTGAAACATGCAAGGCAAGACCAAACTTGAGCAAATTGAAGATGCCCTGTTAAGCAAATTATTTTGTAATTTCCAACATGAAAAACATTTAAAACCAGAAAAACACTGGTTTCAAAGTTCCTTGGGTCAAAGCAGATTGTTTTCAAAATTTACAAAAATGGAAAAAAAAACATTCAAAACAGGAACACTGGTTTTTAAGCATTTCAAAGTCTGAATACTGATTTTGGTTTAGAAAACAAAATCGCTTGAGAACAATTTAAAACATCAATTGATGTTTTTTTGTTTTTCAACTTTTCCTTGTTTGAAACATTGTCAACGAAATGATCTGAAAACAAAATGAGCCTTAACTAAATTTTTGCAACTAAGCCAACCGGCTGGTTTGGATCAAAATTTAAATTTTGAAAATTTTCAAAAAAACACTGAAACGCGGCGTCCAAAAAATCTAGAATGCATTCTGTGG